TCATTGCTTATACTTATTTGTCTCAATCCCATGGTACCATAATGCAATGTTTTTGAACTATCCATGCCTAGTATTTTTTTTTTTTCCTTCTCCAATTTTAAGTTCTTTATGTTTTCTTTCCCTATCATGGGATCCAAGAGAATGTCATTGGATGGAACAGATAAAAAAAAATATTAAAAAAATGAAAAAAAAAATGGTCAAAAGAGAATAATTTCTTATCCCAGGTTCTGTTTCTTGTGGTGGAGTGTGATTGGGAACTGAAAAGATTATCTAAAGCTGTTTTCTTTTGATTGTTTCAGAGCATCTTTGCAGATAAAATGTGCTCAATTCTCCACATACAGATCCTGAAATATAACTGTTATTGTCTTAAACAAAAGTGTCCAGGACTGCAAACAGTATCTGCCACCACTTTTCCATAGTACTCCGTTCAAATCTGGATGAAGATTGGTTCTGGGCTAAGGTTAGAACCAAAATATAAGGAACGATAAAGGTCCACGATAAGGATTCTTACTTAAGACATTTAGGCTAATCATAAAGAATAATGCTATTCAGTGATGCTTAATGCCGGTTTAGGTGGTAGTATTAGTGACAGGTTTAATTAAATGAATCGCATAATTTCACTTTTAATTGAACATATCTCATAATGTCATATAGACTGGCGTTCCAGCAGCAGCATTATTCAATAAGAAATCAAGGAAGCTTAAACCTGCAGAAAGTTACAATTCATAAGAATCTATTCTATACAAGGAGATTCTTGTCAAGAACATATAAAACCATCTTTCATCAATCCATAAAGGCCTAAAGTCTACACTGAATCGTGCTGCCTCAAGTAAAGTTAAAGCCAGAAGATCTGATTATAGAAAGATACTCGATTCAATTAGAATACAGATACAAAGATACAGAGCAGGAATAACAGATTAGGAGCTATAATTCTTATGAGAAAATTTGAGTCACGATTACAACTTACACAATCTAAACATATTCATAACTTGTCAATAAAAATGTGGGCACGATCCCGTTTCCACCATACAAAAGAATGAAGAACACTTATCTCGATCCTAATTAACCAGACCTATCCCTCTTGTGGCCAGCTTTTGAATCTGACTTCAGTGCCCCATTCGAATCTCCTTCCGATGAAACATCGATGGATTTTGTGAAAGAATTTGAAAGATGAGAGTATAAATCAACAACCCTTCTGATGTTGCCGTTGAGCTCTCTTATTAGACCCACGTTTCTGCCCAAATTGTCTGGGATTTTGGATTCATGGTTCTGATTAATCTCATTGATTAGAACCCTGTTCTGATCTAGTATATCCTGGACTTCAACAAAATTCTTCTGGAACGTCTGCACGGTTTTGCCATCCAAATGAGTGCCATTACCAATGCCCGCAAAGGGATCCCCCTCCATTTCTGCTTCAAATTTGAAAAAAATCTGCACCGAGGTATATGAAAACGGGATGTTTAGATTCGAAACAAGAGCGAGTTCTTCGTACTAACTGATAAAGAGAAACGTAAAGATGAGTAGATGATTAACAAGAAGAGATAATTTTATTTTGGTTATCTTAACAAGAAAAAGGCAGACAAAATATGATTAGGCTTTGAATTTGTTGTGAGAAAAAGACAAGGAAAAATCTGAACCTGAAATTATGACCTCTTTCTTCATGGGTAAAAAGTAGATCCCATTTCCATAAAAGGGATCCCTTTTACAATGTATTCTGAAAAACCCACCTAAAAGTGAAAGCTCATATGAACCCCCAAAACTCCACAAGGCCATCACTTCAAGAAAAACTAAACTATTTCCCAAACAGATATATAAAAAGGATAATCTCTATGGTATTTCTTGAACAACTTTTGCAGTAAAAACTAAAAAAACCCAGTAAGATCTCAGATTACAGAGAAGAATTTAACTGCCATTCCATAAAAATACTGTAAGAATTTGAACACAAACATAAACAAAAAAGGATTACTTACATACACAGATGATTTGATGAAATAAATACTTTCTGTATTACAAACAATAAATTGTTGTTTTATACTGATATATGTTTACTCCCTCAAAGCTTCTGTATGGATTACCTTGAGAATTTTCAGCTTTCGAACATTACGGATAGAGAGAGATTGACAAAAAGGAAGAATATCAGCGAATTGAATGTCGAACGAGAGAGAGTATCTGTTAGTAGATTTGACAGTCTCCGATCCTCCGACCCAACCTCGCCGAATACTATACTAATTGGAAAAAAAACAGAAAGATAGGTTTGGTCCCCAATGGTAGGTCCAACTCAATATTTTGGCAACCTTAGTACCTATCTTTTCATTTTTGTAACATTTAGGTCCTCCTTTTCTTAAGGACGTCAATACAAAATTTATTTTGTTGTGGCACTATTATTATTATTATTATTATTATTATTATTATTATTATTATGACGGGAGAACCCGTAGTCGCTACCCTTCGAATTCGCATCGAATAAACCCTTGAATTGACGCAATAACTTGCAAACCACCTCAGTCAAATAAATCACACCAGGCAAGTCCGATGTGACAGATTCGATCGAGTGCGGCACTAATTTTTAATTGTACTGAATGATCTCAATCTTTGCTTTTATCCCACTTTTGTCCTCAACCTTTTTTATTATATTCTTATTTTCAATCTTCTGTTAATGAGTAAATTTAGTCTCTTGCGATAGTTTGCATTCAAATATTCTGCAAGCTCGCTTTAAAAAGATGGGTAAGTATTTATCACATTTTTTTATTAGTTATTTTTTTTTCTTTGTTGAAAATATGAGGGTAAATGAGTCTCTTTACTTCTTCCTAATGAACTTTTTGAACGTATCACCATGATCGGGGATCATATGTGTTAATTAATAAAAGGTAAGAGATTGAAATGCAGCAATTTTTTAATTTTTACTTTTATTATTATTATTATTATTATTATTATTATTATTATTATTATTATTATTTTAATTTTTTTTTATAAGTGCAACATTGAGCAAAGATTGAATACATATTGATATTCAATTTAAATTTATTATTTAGAAACTGTTTGTTTAACTTTTGCTTAATTAAAAAAATTGAATTAAATGCTTTTTGAATTTTAGAAAAAAAATTGTTGATCATCAAGTCACTATGAAAAGTATCAAGAGATCAACTAAGAATTTTAAGGAATATTTTAGTTATAATAATAATAATAATAATAATAATAATAATAATAATAATAATAATAATAATAATAATATCAAGTCATATATGAACCTGTATTCATGGGTAAACTACCTTTAATTAAAAAATAATAATAATGTAACATATCCGTCTCTTTTGATCCAAATGTAAGTGTAAATGATTAATAAATATTTCAAAAATTGATGCATATAAACGACTTTTCAAATTTATTGATATAACGTTCAATCCTACCTCGCTTGTTGCAAGATTGGGTAGTAGATATTCATAAAGTTAATTTCTAGAGTTGCTAGTAACATGATTGTATGATAGATTTACAAAAATTTGGAGAATTCATAATCGTAAATTTAATCTCTAAATTTGCTAATGTAACATCTAGTTCTGTGTCAACTATGATATAATCCGTATCATCTTGATTTTTAAATTTTTAGGAAGTTCAAGAAAAAAATTTAAACAATGTCACACATTAATAAATTAGGTAAGAGAAGCCCCCCGGGGCATAGTCCAGTAGTGCAAAGGAAAAGAGTGGGGTTATCTCACACCTTGCTGACAGTCGCAGTATGAGGGGTTTGATTCCTGAAACATGAAATTGGACTCTTTGTAAACGCAGTGTACATGCAGCTCTTGTTCCTTAATCTATTGTGACACATTCCGCGATTTAACTCCCTCACAAAGCTCTAGGGGCGGGACAGTAAAGATTCTCAAGGTTGGGGTTCAATTTTTATTTATTTATTTTTTTTTTAAATTAGGTAAGAGAGGATTGAAAATGATGATCAAAATAATAGGCCTCGTGGAGTGGTCCCGTGTGGTAGTGATCACTCAAAATCATGCCCGTGAAATTGTACAATCAAACAGTATTTATTTAGGAATTGTCTATATATTACCACAACAATTATACAAAAAAAGTAATTGCTTTTGAGAAAAATAAGTCACTTTCAAAAACTGATAATTCGTCACTTTTACCAACTTTTACGATAGTACTTTGAAATTTATTCACTCCAATTATTTTGTTTAAATAGATACTCTACTTTCATTCATAAAAATAAATACTCCTTTTTTATAGTAGTTTTATTAATAAAAAAAAAACTGTAATTGATAGTAGCAAATAAATTAAAAAAAAATAAAATTTAAGATAGTTGCAAGCAAGATGAATGAATAAATTTCACATGTTAGTGGGAGCCATTTGAGACATAAATGAAACACAATCTTGTCTTCATCAAAACTTCCACCGAGTTTTTGTATTAACGTGCTTTCAAATAGGAACCAATTTAATTGAGTTAAAACGTTATTCAAAAAGTGAATTTCGTGTAGAAGACATGCCTAAAGAGAGGAATATCGAGTCTATTTTCTCGTAAAAAAATTGACCATATGGATATTCGAGTATTAAGTTCAGTCACCGTGATTGGTTGAGGTAATTTAGTCAACATGTCTTTACGAAAATAATAGCATGATTATGAAAAATGGGTAAAGAAGACATTTTAAATTAAAAAAATAAAAATAAAATAAAAGGTAAACGTCCATCAATTTCGTGTATTAAAATATGTCTATTTTAATATATTACTCTTATCCAAATAAATATGCACAACGAAGGTACGGCTACATTAGTGCTCTTGGGTCCCATATACGAATATTAGTTGATCAATCATTTCAGAATTTGCAGCAAATCATCCTTAACAACCTCATTTAGGTGCAATCAATTAAATGTTGGATGGATCATGAGACGTTCATGTCGCTATCATGATAGTCAACAAAAATGATTTTATTTTTCTCCTTTTGGATTATAAGTTCGAGAGTATAACGAGTGTAATTTCTTCTTATCGAGCATTAACTAAACTCGATTCCAGCAAATTTTCTTCATAAGATTACGGAATAACCCCTCAAATAACTCAATCGGCAATGTCTTGTAAGCTCGGGCTCACTGAGATTGATCTTAAGGACGAACTTGATTCTTCAATTTTTCTTTCTCGAATAAAAAAAATTATGAAAGCGTTCGGAGCACTATCGTACTTATTGAAAATGATGTTGTCGGTAATTGATGACAGAGTATGTTGATTATAAATAATGATATCAATGTCAATAATTTCTTACTAAATCATCGATAAAATTGAATTCTGTTACAATCACCTAAAATAAATTGTCGGCCATCATCAACGAAGCTTTAGTTAGGGATCATTTGCTCCGTTTAAAATTTGATTATTATTTTTTAAAAATCCCTTTAAAAAATTGTCTGAGGCCCTTAGTTACTTACTTGAGCTGCCTTAGCTAAAACCTCAAAGAAAATGGAAAAAAGATGAATGCCCCTCTTCCATTATACAAAGGGAATGGAAATAACTAGTTATAGTGTGAAATATATAAATGATCTATGTGTATATATTAGTAAATTGCACGTGTGATGCACGTGATATAAGATGATATAAGAAATATAAAAAACATTGATACGAAAATATAAAACATTTCAGCTTGCTCGGAAGCCAATGTGTGAGTTCAATGGAATATTTTAGGGAATTTTTATAGGGTTTATAGGGTTTTTGTTAGGGAAGAGAGAGAATAGTAGGGGATGACAATCGCCTATCAAAGACAAAGAAAATGGATCAGAGAAAAATAAGGGAGAAATAATAGAACCCTGCTCCCTGTCCCGGGTCAGGGACAGGCGCCCCTCCAATAGGGGGGCGCCACGTGGCGTCCCTGTCTTTCTCCCTGTCCCTGACCCGGGACAGGGAGAATTATTCGAAATAATATACTAAATTCTTTTTTATGGAATAAAAAACAATGTCGATAACTCATAAGAAAATAAGTTAAACAAAGAAAAAAATATTGATATGACATCATTTTGGCGAGGACAAAAATATGAATAGTAGCCATCACTACTCGGCTCTTGAAGTATAGCTAGAATATAAGAATAAGTAGGAACTTTGAAAGGAACGGGAAAATTATAGCTATTGTCATTCTGAACTTTTGCGCTTTTCAAAATTTTATCTTCGCTTTTTATGTTTTGTCTATATTGTCAACAAAAAGTAAAAACATACATATTTGATATGTGTGTATTTTTAAACGATCGTGGAAATAATAATTACGTGGAAGAAACATATATTCAACTTATGTGTGTCTTAGATTTGAATTGCTATTCAACTATAATATTTGAAATATATGAAAGAAACTATTTAACCTTTTTTGTTCTTCCCATATGAAAATTGAATTTTCTGAAAAGGATTATTGAACAATAATTTCGTCATTGCATCATGTTTTGAACTAAAGAATTGTTTATGCAGATTAGGTCATAGAATAAAAATAAGAAAAAAAGAAGTTATGATATGTTAAACAATTTGTCAAATGGTCTTCTTTGATGTGTTTTCTACTAACGAAAAAGCCAAACGTCCAGAGTGGGGGATATGCTCAAAAACAGGGCGCCCACGTGTCGCCCCCTATTGGAGGGTCGGCTTCCAATAGGAGGCGCCCTATTTTTTGCCCTGTTCCCCACCCTGGACAGGAAGCAAAACTGTTCTACAAATATATTTACTCTGACATTCATGAATGGTTTTACAAATCTCTCTTTTCATTTTCCAATCATATCGGGTGAGCTACGCTTTTGGCCACTCAACTTTTACCAAAATTTTAGTTGCATCACTCCAATTTCACTATAATTCATCATGCTTCTAGCTGTTAATAGAAAATAACTCTGAACTCCTATATCGAATAAGCAAAAGCATAAACTACTAAAATTCTTAATATTACATTTTTAGGAATGCCATCAAATTGAAATCCTTCACATTTTCCAATTCCAACGGAGTTT